GACGCGCACCGCGGTCGACTACGTGGGAGTCCAGCGACATAGCCATTACGCTAACTGCTGGTTCCTGCTACATCTCACTTTTAATTCACATGGAATTCATAGTAAATACCAAGAGTTGAAAGTACTTACCAAACTAACGTTAGCCCTAACTACATACACTGTGGACCTACTGAATAATAGGTTATAAAGTCAATTAGGTGGAAAATCAGTTCTTTAAAAAAGATATCAGGAATAGTAATTAAAAAGTACAGTCAAATAACAGTGAGCTAGGAAGCCTCCTAAGAAATATGTCACTTGAAACTCAACTTTTTACTCTAAAGCAGAGAGGCTTGGGGCTAGCAGGTGGAATGGTGGTTAAGGTGCTAAATTCCACATGGCCGACTGCATGGTTCAAGTCTGGGACTTGAAAAACATGCCAGGAGCGTATATTTGCTTGCCCAAAATCCCAAAAGGAGAATGGAGGAGAAGGGATTGTGGTATTGTCATTGCCCGTGAAAGGTGATTTCACTCTTCCCTGACCTTTGTCTCTGATGAGTGCACACACCCTATAGTAAAAAAAATTCAAAACTAAAGTGCTCTTTTTTTTATCCTATATGAATTGGACAAGAATTAAAACTATAAACATAGTAGTAATGCTTTACTTTTTTCAGGGATAAATATAAACAATGGATACTCAGAATTACAGTTTTTGCTAAAATCAGAAGTTTCCCTTAAATAATAATGTATTACCTGGCTAAACCCTGTCAAACAACAAAAACCTCATTCTTAAAGTATCACAAAGGTGAAAACTTTGATGGATTGAAAATATTAAATAGCCAAGTAATAATACTGATATGATGAACACAAAATACTCTCTCCTCATTTCTATAGAATTTTAGATACCATGAAAAATAGGCAAGGAGCTAGACTCCCACATGGCTGGCTGCAGTTTCGAGTCTCAGACCTGGCGGCTTGCTTTCTCACTTTCCTTCTCTGACTCTCTCCAGTCATTTTTTAAAAATAGTAATAATAAAATTAAAATAATTCTTAAAGAAAATAGGCAAATACCTGTACACATAGGGTAATATTCTGGAATCATGGCTTCAGGGAAGCAAAACCTAAAAACAATTTTTTTTGCTGTAGGGCGTGTACACTCGCCAGACAGAGACAGACAGAAAGCGAGAAATCACCCCCCAGAGGGGAAGGCCACGCCGCAATCCCTTCTCCTCCATTCTTCTCTCAGGATCTTGGGCATGCACGCTCATGCGCCCAGTGTGAGTTTAAGCCACCAGGTCCAGGACTCGAACCGCGGCTGACTACATGGGAGTCTAACGACATAGCCAGTACGCCAACTACTGGTCCCAACTTAAAAACAATTTTGAATATCCTTTTTAGTATCTTCTTAGTCCTTTTGATCATAGAAAAAATATTTGATTGATAGCTAACATGCCATTAATGTCAGGAATGTCTTAAATTTGATAACACAATGCAGGGACCCAGAGAGGTAATTTATTTCCAATCAAGGTTATAGAAAACTAAAGTTAACTAGTGCTAGGCCCATACCCTGGTAGTCATGGGCGTGGATCCCACATAGCCAACTGTGGTTTGAATCCTGACTCAGCAACTTGTAAAACATACCAGGCACGTGTGTGAAGGCCCATCATCCCAATAGGGTGAGAAAAATGGAGGAGGAGGGACTTCATCAGGACTGTACCACTGGGAGGTACTTTCTCTCCCTCTCTTGTGTGTCTGGCAAACATGTGCCTTTTGACATTAACAGGAAGCTAAACTAAACTAAAGTCTATTTTTTTTTTTTTTTTGAGAGAGAGGCTTTTGCTATAGGGCACATGCACTTCCCAAAGAGACAGACAGAAAGTGAGAAATCGCCTCCCAGGGGATTGGCCACGCTGCAATCCCTCCTCCTCCAATCTCCTCAGGATTTGGGGCATGTACTCACGTGCCCAGCGTTGAGTTTAAGCCACCAGGTCCAGGACTTGAACTGTGCTGACTACGTAACCATTACGCCCTCTGCTGGTCCCAAACTAAAGCCTATTTTTAAAATTAGTAAGCCCTGAAGCTCTGCATCTTAATTCTATAAATTTGGACATACCAGCATCCCAAGATTAATGAATTAGCAAGTGGCAAGATTCTAAAAGAACAGTGAGAATCTCTCTAAGGAAATCTTTCCAACAATGGCATAATGCTTCCAGTAGTTAACATTTACATAATCTCAACATAATACAGCAGTATTTAATTTTTATTGTTCATATTTTTACCTATCTGGACTGAAGCTGGCTCCATAGACAGGCCCACTGTGGCCATACAAAATCTTCAACTCACTTGCTGTTTTCTCATCCATGATTCTTTCTAAGACATCATCTGATTCTTTGTCTATGAGGCTGAGATCTAAAATGATCCAGAAATATTGATTCTTACAGTACATTCAAACATTTTAAGGTAACCATATCATAGTTCAGGAACGGAACGAACATTTAAACAATGCCTCCTGTATACCAACTACTATGCTAATGACTCTAAATTAAATGATATCATTCCAGTGTACAAGAAGCTCAGAACAGTTAATAATTTTAAATGTAAATGTTTCTTTAGAATGAAATTCTAATCTTACCAGATTCTTTTTTTAGCCATTTTTACAACTGTAACAGGAAATATTCTCCCACTACTTAAGAGGGTTTTTTTTTTTTGAAATTTACAAAGCAAACACCAAATGTTAGATTTCTGACCTTAAGGAAGTTTCTAGCCTAATCCCCTCATTCTATAAATGGGAAAAATAAGGCCCAGTGAAATCAAATCAGTCTAACCCTTCGGCCTCTTGATTACCATGCCAATGTTCTTTTCTTAGTGCTTCTCAAGACATTAGCATCTTGAGTTAAAGTGAAATCAAATGAGTTTCTGCAAAGAGCTCAACTTCCTGTGTATATTGCACAGAATCAAGATTGGTGTCGACGAATGATGAGTTTGCATCCCGACAGGTGATCTTTTACCTGATGCTTGTTTGACACTACGAAGCTTTTTAGGTGTCACAGACCACACTCTGACAGTTGAATCTGCAAAACCTCCAGCAATCAGGCTAGAATCATCAGTGACATCCACTGCAGTAAGGCCCTGACAATAAAAAAGGTTTTATAGCAAACAATACTGTTTTAGGGGAGGAAATTACAGTCACTTCTTAGAGAATATGTAATGATGCCTATTTTTCTCAGATAAAAAGAATTTGAGATCTCATTCTCCTATAAAACCCATTGTCTAAAAGCACATAGGTGGAGCGCATGTCATTGCTTACCCTTCTTTTGCTCTATTTGGAGAACATAATAGGAAACATGGTAATCATTTTTGCACTTTACTAAATATATCCTCAGCAGCCTATTATAAGGAATCGATAAAGACATGTAGAACTCTTAATAAATATTAAGTTTATGCAAGTACTTTAAACAAATTCAACAGAGATGAACCACAGTTCCCTCCTCCTCAAAGGCTAGCAGAATTGTAATGGTGACACGAGTCAGGAATAATAAAGATTCTGGTACCTATGCATTGCTAAAGATCTTCTAAACACTGCTTTCTATCTATCCTGCACAGCATCCAATTCATCTTTCCTAACTGCTGTCTTTATACTACATTGAGTTTAAATAACAAAAAATAACAAAAAAATACTTAACACACATAAGATTCCCATCATGGTAAATCACCATGTTACAAATCTCTTCAGGCAGAAACTTTCCAGTTAATCTACCAACCTGGTAAGCATTGAGGAATGTATAAAAACAAATGGAAGGTAAACAGTCTGGCCCAAGGCGTACTCGTTTGGTGGTTTCTTTCATATTCATTATCTTATCCAACTTATCTGAATCTTTCAACTCAGGAAGTGGGATCCTATAAAATAAAAACAGATTGCAAATTATCCTGTGGATATTAACAAATGTGAACCTTCTGTATCATCTTACATTGCCACACAAGTTCTAAGGGTTTTCCTCACCTGTTCTGAGGTGGAGCATTGGGATCTTGTTTTTTGCTTTTAGATCCAATACTATCTTTTTTGGGCTTCTTCTTTTTAGGTTTTCCTTCTTCATTTTCTCCTTCTTCATCTTCATCATCCAAAGGTACCTCAATTTCTGGTTCTTTTAATAAACCAAAAAATACCTACATATCAAAAAAACACATTTTTAAAATTATTTTTTGTATGTTTATATATCCTTTTCACATCTTGATAGAATAAATCACAATTACAATAACTTAGACCCTATAGCAGGGTTCTGTGCTAGTCTGTCTACCCAACAGTGATTCTCCCCCCTTTCCTTACTAACAGAGCCCTGATTTTAATGGAGCAGCAATGTGCTCAGTTAAGTAATTTGTCCCCAGGCTCCCGTGCAGCTAGGAATGGCCATGTAATGTAATCCTGGCCAGCAGAGGTACACAGAAATACACTAGGTATGTTTTTAGAAAAAAGTTTTCCTGATAAAAGGGGAGAGACTCAGCAAGGATATGCCTTTGGTCCTCTCCCTTCTTCCTTCCTTGAATGCAGCCGTGATGCTGGAGCTGTGACAGCCATTTGTAAGCACACAAAACGCCACATTCTAAATAGGGCAGACCAGAAATGACAAGGAGCCAGGGGGCTTGGTGGCACTCCATGTAGGCCCAGGAGAGCCGTCCGCTGGAAATCATTTGATATGAGAACAACCCCTTACTTGTTCCAGTCATGGTGGCCAGTGTTCTGTTAAATGCAACCATTCCCAAATCCTAATAAAAACATTGTCCTCAGAACATAAAATTGTTTATACAGTGTAAAATTCTCAATCTAGCTACAAGAAAAATGTGTATATTACATAGATGAAAATGCTACAATTTTTCATAATCTGCATTATAGAGTTCTTAGGTTTATTCCCATACCTTTGATTTGTTTGCCTCTCGTTTAGCCTCTCCTGCCAAACTTCCCACCATCGCATCTATCTGTTGCTTACTACGCGGCATCCCATCAAAGATGTCAATGTAGAGGTGCTCCTGAACTATGTTCCAAATCTGATTGTTCTGTTTCTCCTGAAGATGCCTCTTCAAGAGTTGGTAGGAGTCACGGGAAATACGCAGAACAAATTTACTTGTTCGAAAATCCAACATGGTCTCATTCCCTTTCATGTGTTCCTTTTTGGTAAGACTAGATAATACTCGTAGGTCATCCTGGTAATAACATTCCTGATCTCCATGGAACCTGTTTCAGTGATTTTAAAAAGTCATTTTTCAATGTAATCAATAAGGGATCTGCCTCTCCCCCATATATTTATAAACCATCCCAGAATATTTTCAGTGTAGTGGTCTGAATAGTCCTGAACTAAGCTGTAGGATCAGAAGTAACTCATTTTGAAATGATTATAATTCAGTTTCTGAATTTATCCTAAAAATGACCAAATCAGGAGCCAGCAGGTGGTGGTGTGGTTAAGGCATGGACTCCCACATGGCCAATCATGATTTGAGTCCCAGCTGGAAAATCACGCCACGCACATGTGCATGAGTGCCCACAATCCCAGGAAAAGAATGGAGGAGAAGGGATTGCGACCTGGCCATGCCCACTAGGGGTGATTTCTCATTCTCTCTCTCACTGTCTCTGTCTCTTTCCAGCGAACACGCATGCCCTAAAGCAAAAACCTTTTAAAAAATTTTAAATAGATTTTTAAAAAATTTTAAATGACCAATTTAGCTTTCTAACTATTAACATTACTCTATTACATAAACATTACTCTAATAAATACTCTAGGAGAAGAATTTGAAATAAACATCATAAGTAAATGAAAGATAGCCATCAATGGTAGATGCTGCACCACTCGAAAGATAATAGACATCTGAAAATATCAGAACCCAAGGACCAGCTCTGTGGCCTGGTAGTAGTTACAGCAGCTGGATCCCACATGGCCAGCTGCACTGTCAAGTCCTAGCCCTGACAATCTGAAAAACACACTGGGCATGTGTCTGTGTGAGCCCATTTCCCTCTGTCTTTGGAAGAGCACAGGTGCCCTCTGGCTTGGCCCAAACCCACCATTTTTAATTATTTCCAATATTCTTTTTCTTTTCTTTTCTTTTCTTTTTTTTTTTTTTTTTTGGAGAGGTTTTTTTCTATAGGGCATATGTGCTTACCAAAAAGAGAGAGACACAGAGAGACAGAAAGTGAGAAATCACCCCCCAGGGGGGATGGCCACACCAAAATCCCTTCTCCATTCTCCTCTTGGGATCCTGGGCACGCACGCACAAGCGCCTGGCGTGAGTTTAAGCCACCGGGTCTGGGACTCGAACTGCAGTGGACTATGTGGGAGTCCAGTGACATAGCCATTTCGCCAACTGCTGGTCCCTGATTTCCTATATTCTTTATACCAGACATAATATTTGCACTCACCAGAGAAAAACAGAAACAGAAAGAGGCAGAGAGAAAACACCTCCTCTGTGGGACGTGGTCATGCTGCAATCTCTTCTCCATTTCTCCATCCTGTCTGACACATAGCCAATAGATTCTTAAACTGTTACTTGTGTTACCTCATTATGACTCATCAATATATGAACTAAGGATTCCTGTCCAAGATTTGAATTAAATTAGGAATCTAAACCTCTTGGTATTTATACCTGTCACTGCCCATTACCCGGGCATGGGGTCCTTACAAGGGCCGAAACTGTCCATGACAGGGATACAGAACACTTCTATGATATTCTAACTTCCTTTGTGGAGAAATGGCTATACCATGAGGCAGGAAGAGCAAGAGGTTTTATTATGACAGTACTGTGAGAGAAATTACCTTCTAGGGTAGGGATTGTCATCAAATTTCTCAACTTTTTTTCAAAAACACTGAGCTATAGCCAGCAGGTAGCATGGTGATTAAGGTACTGAACTCCCACATGGTCGACTGCAGCTTACTTTCTCGCTTTCTTTCTCTCTCTCTCTCTCTCTCCCCCCCCCTCTTGTGAGTGCATGTGCCCCACAGTAAATGAAAACGTAAATAAATTAAATTATGATAAAATTAAATCATTCTTAATAAAAAAAAAGCACTAATCTACAAAACCATTTGCTTTGCATACTTTCTATTAGGCATCCTAGTATAATTAATGAATGAAATGGCAGAGAAGCTAGGAGTGACAAACTCTATTCTATTATTATTACCTGTGTTATCTGATAAGTCTTGGCATCAGGCTCTATTGCTTCTATATTTTTTTTTTTTTTTTAAGAATTACTTATTTGGGACCAGCAGATGGCATGATGGTTATGTCACTGGACTCGCACGCAGTCAGCCATGGTTCATGTCACTGGGCACGTCTGCGTGTGTGCCCAAAATCCAGAGAGGAGAATGGAGGAAAAGGGATTAAGGCATGGCCATCCCCCCGGGGGGTGATTTCTTGCTTTCTGTCACTCTGTCTCTCCAGCAAGCACATGTGCCCTATGGCAAAAATCTCTTACAAAAAAAAAAATAGAATTACTTAATTTTATTATCATTACCTTATTAATTTTCTATAGGGCACATGTGCTTACCAGAGAGAGAGGGAAAGTGAGAAAGCAAGCAGTCAGGTCTAGGACTCAAACCACAGTCAGTCATGTGGGAGTCTAGCGCCTTACCTACCCCACCATCTGTTGACCCCTCTATTTGTATTAAAGAGCTCTCATTCAAGCAGTTAGCAATGCCTCTCTAAACACTCCTTTCCTTCCTATAACTCAACACTCTCCTACTTTTCTTACTACTTCTCTGGCCTCTTCTTTCATACTTCTTCTTAGTCATTAAATGTTAGCATTCCTCAAGTTCTCACTGATTAATTTCATACTCTCCCCTAGACAAGCTCATCCATGTCCATCTATTGCACACAACTCCAGTTTATGGCTCTAGTCCCTACCTCTCTTCTGAGCTCTTCTATATCATATACCTATCAACTTGACAGCTCTTAAATGAGTCAGTGTCATGTTCAAATCAGAAGTCAAGGTTATTCCACAGTCTGACAAACTGACCCCCCTTCCACAGTTTTCTGTGAATGTGAAGGGGACTCCCATCTAGCTGGAGGGGCCAGAAACCTAAGGATAGCAATAATACCTGTCCTTTATTTAATCCATCAAGTATCTCACCAACCTCTCTTCACCTCCACCACCACAACCTTGTCCAGTGATTCTCAAAAGGGGTGCTACAGGCATTTTGAACAGGACAGTTCTCTGCTATGTGGGACTACCTGTACATATTAGAACATTTAGTATCCCAGTTCCTCTGTGCAGTCATCATGACAAACAAAAACACCTCTATACATTTTCAAATGGCCTATATCACTCCCAGTTAAGAACCACTGCAATAACCTCCAAAACTAGTCCACTTATAGGTTTTCTGTCCCTCCACCTTCTGTTTACCCTGCTGCATTAAAGTTCCCTTCAAATGCCTATCTAATAATGACATGGTCCTTCGATGACCTCTTTTTTTCTTTTTCTTTTTTGGAGAGGTTTTTGCTATAGGGCGCATGCGCTTGCCAGATAGACAGAGAGAGACAGACAGACAGAAAGCGAGAAATCACCCCCCAGGGGGGATGGCCACACGGCAATCCCTTCTCTTCCATTCTACTCTCAGGATCTTGGGCACGCACGTACACGTGCTCGGCGTGAGTTTAAGCCACCAGATCCGGGACTCAAACCGCGGTCGACTATGTGGGAGTCCAGCGACATAGCCATTACGCTAACTGCTGGTCCCGTCCTTTGATGACTTCTATAGCAAAGACATCTCTCTGTCCCCAGATAACCCATTTTCCCTTTTTTCCTCCATAATAGTGTACCTGGATATTATCTGGGCACATGGACTCTTAGGAAAAGACCATATTTCCTACATCCACTATAGCTAGGTATGGTCATCAACTGATAGATGTAAAAGGACGACATCTGTGC